AGAGCCCCACACCTCGGCCTGACGGAGTATTTGAGAGGATGTAAATCAGGTGACTCAATGGCCCCCACATCTCGGCCCGACAGAGTATTTGGGATGTCCCGAACACCTCGGCCTGACGAAGTATTTGGGAGGATGTAAATCATGGTGACTCAATGGCTCAGCAGACAAAGCCAAATACCGGTGCACACAAGGGATCTGTCCACTTTGGCATAATCCCCACACTGCCACTTCCAAAATTTGAACATTGATCTCTTCTCCCAAATATTACCTACTGTACCACTGAACTAATCTTGTGCGTGCGGGAAATAAGAAATCTAAGATGCCTATGGAAGAAAATAAAAATAAAAATATTTGATAGATGTCGAACTCAGGAATTGAATAAAGTTATTTTTTCTTATAAATACTTGGACCTTTACGTTCTTTCTTTTTCACTTGTCCTGGCCATGAAGGAAAACCACAAACATTGTATAAGCTATTCAACAATTGGATAACATCTCCGATGAATACGGGAAATCCTGGCCATGAAGGAAAACCACAAACATTGTATAAGCTATTCAACAATTGGATAACATCTCCGATGAATACGGGAAATATCTAATCTCTTTCTCTTTCTGTCCTTTTCTTCATAGTGGTGAGAAGACCGCTATATTAAAACTTAAGTTAGACTAGCTGAGTTAGACTAGCTACGAGATAATAATAATAAGAAAGAATTAATTTCAGGAATAATTGATTGATTATTGTCATTTATCAATTTTTATTATTTGACTTTTAATTGAATCATAAATGGTTCTTTGATTATTAATTTTTATTAATTTTTGACATCGACTTTCAATTTAATCATAAGTGGTCCTTTGACTATTGATTTTTTTTTCTTCTAAATTTGGCCCTTTAATTTAATATCATTTTAATAAACATTAAATCTAAGGGTAATAATGTAATATTTTTAGTCTTCACAATGATGAACTTAATGTATTAAATTTATGAACTCAATTTGTTCATCTCAACAATAAGCAAAATTTTACATTATTATTTTTAAATTTAATTTAATTTAATGTTTATTAAATGGATATTTAATTAAAGGACCAAATTTTGAACAAAATCAATAGTCAATGGACTAGTTATGGTCATATTGAAAGTTAAGGACGAAAATTGATAAAGATCATAGTGAATGGACCATTTATGTTCCAATTGAAAGTCAAAGAATAAAAATTGGTTAATGACAATAGTTAATGGACCATTCTTGGAATCTATCTATACTATTATTATAAAAATAAAATCTTACTTTGTGTTTTCCCGCCCAAACACTTCCAACCAAACAATTAATAATTATTTAAATAATAATAATAATAATAATAATAATAATAATAATAATAATAATAATAATAATAATAATAATATGGGAAAATACAAAAGAATTGCTTATAATGTTAGGAGTAAGAAAAGAAAAATGAAAAATGATCCCTAATTTACTTAATCTATCTATACTATTATTAAAAACAAAATCATCCTTTGTGTTTTCGCGCTCAAACTCTTCCACCCAAACAATTAATAAGTAATAAGTAATACTTAATTAATTAAATAATAATAATAATAATAATAATAATAATAATAATAATAATAATAATAATAAAATGGAAAACTCTATACTATTATTAAAAACAAAATCCTACTTTGTGTTTTCCTGCACAAACTCTTCGACCCAAACAACAACAACAACAACAACAACAACAACAACAACAACAATAATAATAATAATAATAATAATAATAATAATAATATGGAAAAAGACAAAAGGATCTATAATTCTTATAATGTTAGGAGTAAAAAAAGGGAAAATGGAAAAGGATCCCTAATTTACTTTTTTTGAACGCAAAAACGATGAATCCATTACTAATCAGAATAAATGCGTAATACAATCACGTGGAACACCAGTCCACATTCCTGAGACAGCCTTAGAAACGGTCGCCCGAGCAAGCTCATGAGCCACACGATTCGCTGACCTCCTAATATGGGATACAGTAACATTCCCAACATCCCTAGCAATCGACTTACATTGCTTTACAATCAAACCAGCATAAGAAAAATCAGAAAAACTCGAATTGAAAGCAGTACAAAAATTCAAACAGTCTGATTCTAAGATAATATTATTGTAACCTTGTGTCTTGATCCAAGCCAAAGCCTCCTTGACTCCCAGTACCTCTGCCATAAAAGGATCCTCCTCACCTACTAAAGGACCGCACTTGACTGCAACAAACGAACCTTCATGGTCACGCACCGCAGCGCCAAAACCAGCACCAGTACTCGAAACAGAAGCATCCACGTTAAATTTGCATGTATTTCTTGGCGGTGGAGTCCACCCAGAAGAAGAAGAATCAGATCCCAGTGGATGGCTTTTACCCGAATATGCCGCTTTGCAGTCTTCTTGCATACTGCCCAGTTGCGCACAAGCCCATCCGGCGGAGGGATTATTATTTCGCCACACCACCTCATTACGTGCTGTCCAAATGATCCAGAAAATGACAGCAAGTTTCACCACATCATCACCATTTGGTATGCTGAACCAATCCTCTATGAAGCTTGGCAGATCCCGTCCCCGGCGCACATCCGTATGACCCCAGAGACTCTGAGCAAAGCTGCAATCACATAACAGATGTTCAGTCGTTTCCGCGTAGAAACCACAGATCGGACATCCACCCCCTACCCAGACCCTCCTGGAGTGCAAGTTTTCCCGCACCGGCAACACTTCCCGCGCACACCTCCATAATAGATTCTTCACTTTCGGCGGTACTGGTAACCCCCATAGCTTCGTCCATGCCTGGAAAACACCAGTATTCCCGTTCCACACTGCGTCCTTCACGAGTAATTGAAAACCCTGCTTGACTGAGTAACAGCCACGAATATCCCCAATCCATCTCCAACAATCTCGGACCTGAGAATTCATAGGAGTGGCCAGAATTCTCTGTACATCAGCGGGAAGAAATAAGTCCTGGAGTAGTACCTCGTCCCACCTACCTTGCTCGTCCATCAGCCCACGGACCGTCGCCACCTGGAGATGATCAGCACATGGGGTAACAAGGCGGGCATTGGAAGCAGATGCAATCCAATTCCAGCCCCAAATTTTCGTATCGTTCCCGTCCCCAATGCGCCTAGCTAGACCCAGATTTAGCACCTTCCGGCCAGCGAGGATGCTCCGCCAGATATAGCTCGGATTCCCTCCCAATTGTGCATCCATGAAATCTGTCCTGGGATAATACTTAGCTTTCAAAATTCTGCTAGCCAATGAAGTCGGGTGGATTAATAGACGCCACCCTTGTTTAGCCAATAAAGCAATATTAAAGTCGTGCAACTTTTTAAAACCAAGCCCCCCCTTCGCCTTAGACATACACATGCGATCCCAACAGAGCCAGTGAATCCCTTTGCCACCTCCCCTCCCACTACCCCACCAGAAACGGTTGAGCATTTTTTCCAACGAGTCACATACACGCAGGGGAAGTAAAAAGACCGACATAGTGAAAATAGGCATTGACTGTGCAATGCTCTTAATAAGGACTTCTTTACCTGCTCGGGATAAAAGTTTATTCTGCCAAGCCCCAATTCTAGTCTGAATATTTCCTTCGATATATTTAAATATTTCCGTTTTGTTGCGCCCCAAAGCAGACGGAAGGCCCAGATAGCGTCCCAAGTCTGCCGCTTCAGGCACCCCAATGAGACCCGAGACCCGGTCCCTGACTACCGATGGTGTGTTGCTGCTGAACACTGCCAATGATTTCTCGTAATTAATTAATTGTCCCGAGGCCAAGCAATATAGCTCAAGACAATCTTTGACTTTTATAGCTTCACGATCATCAGCCCTGAAAAATAATAAACTATCGTCAGCAAAAAATAGGTGCGTGATGGCCGGTGCACCCCGGGCCACCCGTACACCATGAATGTCACCCCTTGCCTCCGCCTGTTGCAGAAGAATGGATAGGCCTTCGGAACAGATTATAAAGAGGTAGGGCGACAAAGGGTCCCCTTGTCGGATACCCCGAGTGGGACGAACTTGGCCTGCCATCTCACCATTTACTAAAATTGAAAAATTCACCGAGGAAACGCACAACATCAACATTTCCACCCAATCACTTGGAAACCCCAACGCATCCAACATGCCCTTCAAGAATGGCCATTCCATCCTATCGTATGCCTTAGCCATGTCTAGCTTCAGCGCCGCCCACCCCTGATTTCCCCCCGTTTTCCTACGTAGGAAATGACCAACCTCGCCGGCCACAATAACATTATCAGTGAGCAACCGATCGGGTACGAAAGCACTTTGTGACATGGACACAACGTGTTCAAGACATGTTTTAAGTCTATTAGCCAGCAATTTAGCCAGGATTTTATAAACGACTTTACAAAGCGCAATCGGACGCAGGTCCGCGACCTTTTCAGGGATCGGTTTCTTTGGGATGAGAACGATGTTTGAATCGTTCAAACCCGGGGGGAAATATCTCTGTTCAACACATTTGATGATGAACACAGATAAATCATGCCCAATGATCGGCCAAAAATGTTGGAAAAAAGCCGGGGACCCGGTGCTTTTTCAGGTTGCATAGCTAAAAGGGCCAACTTGACATCGTCCATGGTGAATGGGCTGGACAGCACATTCACCATTTCTGCCGTTACTTTCCCCCGCACTCGGTCAAAAAAATTGGCGTCACAAGTGCCGGAACAGAAAATATGTTCATAGTACCTGATTATTTCCCGATTCATTTCCGTACCCTCCACCCATTCGCCATTCTGGGTTTTGAGCTGGGACAACCGATTGTGCTTACGTCGAGCGGTTGCCATTTTGTGAAAATATTTAGTGTTCGCATCCCCATGCCTTAGCCAAAGTTGTTTGGATCGTTGCTTCCAGAATAATTCTTCGGCTTTGAGGACAACATCCAGCTCCTTCTCGGCATCCATGAAACGCCTCACGGCAGATGGTGAGCGATCTTCCTTTAATTGGTCCAGAGTACGTCGGAGTTGAGTACTTCGGAATCCAAATGTTCGGTGATGTTCACCTCCCCACTTCCATAACCGATCCCCACAAACAGCTAGACGGTCCGGGAATGGCAATCCTACAGACATGCGCCATGCTTCATCAACCACCCTCGTACAACCAGCTTCTAACATCCACGCTGATTCAAATCTGAATTGCCGAATTGCTGTACGCACATGCTCAGTGCTAATATCCAGGTAGATTGCACAGTGATCGGAAGTATGAGCATATATGTTACGTACTACCGCTCCCTCATGCAGTTCCACCCAATCCATCGTCGCCACCGCTCTGTCTAAGCGCTCCTCCACCCACGACTTCGTACCTCTTCCCTTTACCCAAGTGAAATGCCCCCCTGTCATACCCAAGTCAATCAGCCCACACTCCTCTAAAACGTCGTTAAATCCCTCCATAAGGGCCGATGGATGTGAGTGTAATCCTTTCTTCTCCGCAAGACTAGTGATGTCATTGAAGTCACCTGCAACAACCCAAGGAGATTGAGATTCCCCTTTCAGATTCCTTAATAAATCCCATGTGACATGCCTTCTACTTCGGTCAGATTCACCATAAAAACCCGTCATTCGCCACCCCGGCCGACCCGGCAGAGTTATATCCATATCGATATGATTATTGGAATAACTCCGTAACGTTGCCGTGTTCTTGTCTCTCCAGAGGAAAGCCAGGCCTCCTCCAAAACCCACACGATCCGCACACAATTTACCTTCAAAGCCTAATTTAATCCGTACCTCCTCTATCTTACTTTCTGTAGCCTTTGCCTCCATTAAGAAGACGAACTGGGGCTTCTGCTTGGACACTATGCCCATTAGCTCTCGAACTGACCGGTCGCCCCCCATACCCCGGCAGTTCCAGCTCAGTAGACTCATTGGACCCGGCGAGTCTGGTCCGCCAGACCCGCCAATTCATCTTGGTGTTGAGTGTCTGCCATCCGCACGTCCTCTCTGATTGGTTCCACGATCCCCACGCTGTCCTCTCTTCTACGTTTTAGATTGTCGTGCAACTCCCCCACTTCTTCCATTGCCATGATCACAGCCGGAGTCAAGGCAGTAGATCGACTTGGCGATCCCTTCTCAGAGGACGCTGCCTGCGTGTCGGTAGACAGTAGCCATTTTGCGCCAATTGGTCGCACTTGGCGTCTTGGCCCTGCCCGTAACCAAGCGCCAAACGGGAAATCGTCGGGTAAGAGACCTTCTTCGTACGCTACTTTACAGTATTTGTCGGAGTGGCCTAACAATCCACAACAGTAGCAGAAAGTGCTCAGCCTCTCGTACTTAAACGTGATCCACCGCGTCGCACCATCCCTCTGAATCAGTCTCATTCTCCTCTTGATCGGAGATGACATAGCCAACCTTACGCAGATTCGATAGAAACTCTTCCATGCCCCTCCAAAATTGAAAGGATCGGCTACTACGAACGACCCGATGTAATCCCCAATTTTAGCAATGAAATCCGGGGATGCATACATAGAGGGCAGCCCATGAATCTGGATCCAAAAAGGAACAAAATCAAGCAGAACATCCTCCGGCAGAGTCCCCCCAGGTACCTGTTCGCAGATCAAGTGATGGTTTTCGAAGGACCAAGGTCCGTCGTCGAGGATCCTCTGCATGTCTTTTGGGTGCGGAAACTGGAATAGAAATAAGTTGTCCGCCAACGGGAAAGCATACATCCCCATCACCGGGCGCCACACCGCTGCTAGGACATGTTGCATGTGTTCAAAGCGAATCGGATGATCGGTCAGGAGTCGACCGACAATATTATTTTGGATTGTCGCGTCCGGGATCGCCCTTGCCTCCGGTGCATCGAGGCCGCCACCCTCCTCCTCGGCTATTGCAAGGTCGGCACAACGACGCTCTAGCTGTCGGATATCCATTCAGAGAATCGGGATGCAATGAGAATGCCAGAACAGAACGTAGAAGAATATCGGGAGTGTAAATCTCGCAATCAGAAACCACCGTTATAAACGCCCTAGACCATTAGGGAGATCGCTCCCTCAGCCCACGACCGAGAGAGATGTCCACGATCAAAGACGGAGATCGGAATCAGGATCGGAGTGTACCGATTATTGCGGAGCGCTTTCTAGTGTATGGTATTGACTACCCATTTCCCTAATTTACTTAATCTATACTATTATTAAAAATAAAATCCTTCTTTGTGTTTTCCCGCCCAAACTCTTCCACCCAAATAATTAATAACTAATTAATTAAAGAGTAATAATAATAATAATAATAATAATAATAATAATAATAATAATAATAATAATAATAATAATAATAATAATAATTATAATAATAATAATAATAATAATAATAAATAGAAAAATACAAAAAGGATCTATAATTTATTTATAATGTTAGGAGTAAAAAGGGAAAAATGGAAAATGACCCCTAATTCACTTAATATCTACTATATATACTATTATTAAAAACAAAATCATCCTTTGTATTTTCTCGCCCAAACTCTTCCACCCAAATAATTAATAATTAACAATTAATTAAAGAACAGCAACAATAACAACAACAACAACAACAACAACAATAATAATAATAATAATAATAATAATAATAATAATAATAATAATAATAATAACAATATGAGTTAATGACCGATTTGGTCCTCCGTCTTCTTCCCCGATTTGGTCCTCCGTCTTCACTTTCATGTTTTCTTCTTCCTCGTCTTTCGGTCTTCCCTCCCATCGCTGCGGCCGGAAAAATTGCGGACATCACCTTGCGCGGATGGAACAGTAGCCACCAGAGACGGAGCCAAAGGGGGGGAGGGGTGGCAGCTGCCCCCCTCACCCCACCCCACCCATATATAACCTTTGTATGTATATATGTATATATAATACATGTTTCAGTAATATTATAAAAACACTCTTAAATGTCAATAAGAAATGAGTTAGATTAATTGACAAAACACATGTTTGGCAGTAGTAAAGGTCAAGGTTTTGAATCTTTTGGCATTAACATAGTTTTACAGTTTATTTTGACTCCTTCCACTATGGCTTCAACATAGTCACATTTTAAATATCTTGTGTTTTCTATTCAAATTATTTTATCAAATTAATTATGTTTCATATTTTGTTAAAAATACTTTTATAAAGTTTCAATGTGTTTTATTTTTCGCTCATATCCAACAATATTTACAACTAACTGCATTTCTTAGGTAATTTATTTATTTTTTTAAATTATCTTTTTTTGTTTTAATGTTTCGCCCTGGAAAAAATTATGAATCCATCCCTACTTCTTCACTCCCCTCAACCGAATTTCTGGCTCCGTCCACCATTCACCAACTCCAACTGAATCAACTAGTGATTAACAACGTAACTAACTACAAAATCCCTTTCAAAAAAAAAAAAAAAAAAAACTTCAGAATCATAATAATTAATCAATGGCCATGATGATCTTAATCCACACCATTAATTCAGCTGACCCAAAGTTTAGAATCGGGTGGCGATGTTGTCTGCCGGATTATAGATCATAACATCCAAAGGGAGTATTGGGAACGGAACTGTTAAGCTCTTCCATGAAACCGTCAAACTCCGGCAAACTGCTGCCGGAGTTCCCATCGGGCCTAAAAAATCTTTGAACCGGCCCTGCCAAATCTCGTTTTCATCGATCTTTGATCTTGTCTCTCAAGCTACTTGTGGGTTGGACTTAGAGCCCACCAGCTCTTACCTCCATTTTCTTGGTTTGAATTATGCCGCCGCATCTAGACTCCGCCACCTTCCTCGCTCTTTTCTTGTTGTTGCTTTGTTTCTCCGGTGAGCCTTTGCATCCAGCGAAAACTAGGGGTCAGTGTCACAAGACCTCCTTCCAAACCCATAATCTGCAATCTCCGATTGGGTCTCCCTGTATTGCCTCGAAAGGGGCTTCTTTGCAGGAAAGGGAGCCGACCTTTCGCCATTGTTTTGCTTCTTGAGCTTCTGTTTTCGTCTCCACTTGTGCCATTTCTTGCTGAAAACCAAAGCTGCAAACCAAAAGCTCCGTGCAATTTTCTTCAAGTCCCTTCCTCCTGGCTTCTTTACCTGGGAATCAAGATCTATATGATCCTTCATAGGTTTCAATTTATCCTCCTCGTTCATACCTGTTGGAAATGGTGAATAAAACGATACACAATATATATATATATATATATATATATATATATATATATATATATATATATATATAATATTGTCCCGAAAAAAAAAAGGAATTTAATTTATAAAAAATTAATTCCAACCAATTTTGGTACGAAACCAAAATACATATATATACCTCGTATATATATTAATCAACTAGGGATTTATTTTATCAAAATAATCCCACTACAACTAGTACGAAACTAGTACACGAGACTTAATTTCCACGAAATTAATCCCACCACAACTAGTACGAAATGAGTACAAGGATTTAATCTTTCCGAGATTAATCCCACCACTTGGTCCAAAACCAAGAACAAAAATAAACAAGAGACGGGTTTCTAACCTGAGGTTTTAACCCAACGAGAAGAAAGAAGAAGCAGAGGAAGCCCGAGTCGTGTGTACACACACTCTCCTTAAAATCGATTCGCCACCTCCCGGGGGTGCTAGGATCGTTGTGGCGTCAGTCTCCCAGGATAAAACGGACTACGACTTTGGCGTTCGAGCACTCCAACCCAAAGCCCGACGAACTAGAACACAAGTTGAGCACTCCGATGTTTTACGGAATTATGTTGGCAAAACAATCTCTCTTTTGAAATTAGGGAGATTAGAGATAAAAAAGCAATGGTTATTTTTGAGTTTCAAAAATGGCGTAAACAATCTGCTAACACCCAAGGTATTTGTAGGAGAAATAGAATTAATAGCCTATTCATGGCACATAAACCAACATAAATTCAATTTAAAAATTGAATTATAACGTTTGAAACGGTTGTACTTATTATCGAAATAATATCAAAGGTTACGAACTTAATACACGATTAATTCGTACCGACCATAACGACCCGTTTCAAAATATCTGAGTGACCGAGAAGTCCGTACAAACCCGAAAGGTTAACGAATTGGGACTGGAAACCACACCCGAGTGGTCCACACGCACTGAAACGGTGCAGCACGAATCAATGCATATAGCATTGACTCGTGCCAACTCATGTTGCTGAGCACGAAAGGAGCTCATTACACGAAAGGAGGTCATCACACGAAAGGAGCTCAATTTCCAAAAGCACGAATTTGTCCTTAAATCCCAAATCATTAGTTAATTAAGCTTTCAAGCTTAATTACCCCTCTTAAGCTTAATCAAGCTTACAACGAATCAAGCTTGATAACCAAATTACGAATTGCTAATTTAATTAGCAATTTAGCTTAAGAGTTCGGCTTCTCTCAAATAGGTTCATTTTGAGAATCAAATTCTCATTCACCTATTACTCATTTTGAGCGTACATTATATCTAATTCTTCGTCTCACTACGAAGAACCCGAATCCACTTTGACCCGACCCAAATCGGAAGTGGACCCACATATATTTGCACCACAAAATAATCACTCAAAATGCCATTTTTAGCTAAAAATTCCAACAATCCCCCACATGAATGAAAATTGATTTTCGGGACGAGGAAAAATCGACACGAACGTGCTCAACGGTCGATCCCGGCATAGCATAGGTAGGTGTTACCCTTTGAACCTTGCCTTGTGAAAATATGTTTACTCTACTGGCTGTATGGTAGAACTTGATGTCTTTGAACCAACTGCCGTTTGTGTAGACGATGACATATCCCACACAGGAACCTTCCAACCTTTGTTCTGTTCTCATGGGTGTGCCCGTTTTGGTCATGGGTCACTTTCCTGGTTCTGCGAGAGTTTCTAAAGAATTGAGCCCATCAATTCTCCTTTGAAGCGACCCCACTTCTCTCTAACATAGGTGATTCTTTATCGAGTATCCCGCATACTCACACATGTCAACCGACATTCGAATCATTAAAGCATCAACATGCTAGCCTCATGCGGGAGTCACTGTTCTAACAAGGAATGGTAGGGAGTCCGAGACCCCCACAGTGACATGCTTCGTTCCATAATTTAGTTGTCCCATTGAACCTAGGTGCCAGGTAGGTTGGGTGTCCACTATAGAAATTTTATTCCATGGGCTTCAAACTCATTCCTCGTGCCAACTTCTCAACAATATCTTTGCTCAACCCTTTGGTTAGCGGATCCGCTATATTGTCCTTTGACTTCACATAGTCAATAGAGACAACACCCGTTGTGAGTAGTTGTTTAATGGTATTATGTCTTCGACGTATATGTCTAGACTTGCCATTATACATACGACTTTGCACTCTTCCAATTGTTGCTTGATTATCATAATGCACACTAATTGGAGGTACAGGTCTATCCCAACAAGGAATATCCTCCACAACACAACATTTGTCTAAGGCTATCAGCTCAGATTCCATCGTGGATCTAGCTATCAAGGTTTGTTTCGAGGATTTCCAAGAAATGGCTGCACCCGCTAACGTAAACACATAGCCACTCGTGGACTTAGAGTCCTTCATATTCGATATCAAGTTAGCGTTGCTATACCCTTCAAGTACAACAGGATATCGTGTATAGTGCAGTCCCCAGTCACGAGTATATCTCAAGTATCTCATAACTCTCACTATTGCCTTCCAGTGTGCATCACTGGGGTTACTCGTATATCTACTGAGTTTGCTAACCGCAAAGGCAATATCAGGCCTGGTACAGCTCATTAGATACATCAAACTTCCAATAATCCTAGCGTATTCTACTTGAGAGATACACTTTCCGCGATTTTTGGATAGATGAACGTTAGTATCTAATGGAGTCCTAGCCACTTGATAATCATCCTTGTTAAACTTTGCAAGGATTTTATCAACATAATGAGATTGGCTTAACACGAGACCACCAGGTCTTCTCACGATTCTAATCCCAAGGATTAAATCTGCCAAACCCATATCCTTCATGTCAAATCTCGAATTTAACATGTCCTTGGTAGATTTGATCATTCGATCGTTACTACCCACGATGAGTATATCATCCACATATAAACAAAGAATGACATAACCGTCTATCGTTTCCTTACCGTAGACACACTTGTCACTTTCATTTATATTGAACCCATTGGTTAACATCGCATGGTCAAACTTCTCGTGCCACTGCTTAGGCGCTTGTTTTAAACCATATAACGATTTAACCAATTTACAGACTTTCTTTTCTTGGCCCGGAACCGCAAAACCCTCAGGCTGTTCCATATAGATTTCTTCATCTAACTCGCCATTCAAGAAAGCTGTTTTCACATCCATTTGATGAACTTCCGTATTCCGCAGTGCGGCTATGGCATGTATTATCCTTATGGAATTTATTCTCGTTACGGGAGAATACGTGTCGAAGTAATCAAAACCCTCGCATTGCCTGTAACCCTAAATTACAAGTCTAACCTTATACTTCTCAATGGAACCATCAGGTTTCAACTTCCGTCTAAAGACCCACTTGGATCCCAAGGGCTTACTACCCGGAGGAAGATCAACCAGTTCCCAAGTGTGATTCTGTAGGATAGAATCCACTTCACTCTTTATAGCCTCTTTCCACATTGGTCCTTTCGTAGAAGTCACAGCTTCTACATACGTTTGAGGCTCGTTTTCTAACAAACATGTCAGAAAATCCGGTTCATTTTCTAGTAAACAAGTTAGAAAATGCGTATCACATTCTAACATGTACGTCAGAAAATCTGGACCAAAGGATTTTTCAATCCTAACTCGCTTGCTACGTCTAGCTTCAAGCTCGGGTTCTATTTCAGACCCTCCACTGCCGTCATCCACAGCCTCGTCGAATGTTCGTTTCGACGTACTAGGTACTTCACTGGACCTACACGGAAATACATCTTCAAAGAATGATGCATTCCTTGATTTAATTATCGTGTTCTTATGTACGTCCGGATTATGGGACTCGTGTACTAAGAACCGATACGCACTACTGTTATGTGCATAGCCAATAAAGATACAGTCCACCATCTTAGGACCTATCTTTATTTTCTTAGGTGTTGGCACCAAAACTTTGGCAAGACACCCCCACACTTTCAGGTACTGGTAGGAAGGTTTCCTACCATTCCATAACTCATAAGGAGTCTTATCGAGCTTCTTGCGGGGAACCTTATTTAAAAGGTAGTTACTTGTCAAAATCGCCTCACCCCACATACTTTGAGGTAGGCCCGAACTTATCAACATCGCATTCATCATCTCTTTCAATGTGCGATTTTTCCGTTCGGGCAACACCGTTCGATTGAGGTGCGTAAGGTGCCGTACGCTCGTGTATGATACCTACACTTGCACAGAAGTCACCAATAGGTGCTTCGTACTCACCACCTCGATCGCTTCTAACCTTCTTAATCCTCCGATTAAGTTGGTTTTCCACTTCATTCTTATAAAGAATGAATTTATCGACGGCCTCGTCTTTGCTCTTAAGCAAATACACATAGCAGTATCGTTTGTTATCGTCGATAAACGTGATAAAATATTTATTACCACCGCGTGATTGTATGGATCTAAAATCACATATATCGCTATGAACCAACTCAAGTGGTTCCTTTTTCCTTTCAATCGATTTAAAAGGAATTTTCGTTTGTTTTGCCTCAACACAAATCTCACATTTGTGCTTATCAACTTGAAATGCAGGAATATGGTCCAAGTTAATGAATTTACATATAGAATTAAAATTAACATGACCCAGTCTACCGTGCCACAAGCACGAAGACTCAAGTAAGTAGGCTGAATTAATAATACATTTATTAATCGCGGTTATTGCATCAAGCTTAAAAATCTCATCTAGCACATAACCCTTGCCTACGTACATTCCTGATTTCGACAAAACAACTTTATCTGACTCAAACACTAACCGGAAGCCATTCTTGTTCAACAATGAACCAGAAACTAAGTTCTTCCATAGCTCCGGTACGTACAAGACGTTGTTCAGAATCAGCTCTTTCCCAGAGGTCATTCTGAGAACTACTTTGCCCATGCCTACCACAACAGACTGAGCAGAGTTTCCCATCCATACCTTCCCACTATTTTCCGTCTCGAAGGTAGTAAACAACTCACGGTTGGAACACATATGTCGGGTTGCACTCGTATCAATGAACCACTCCGTTTGGTTTGAACCAACCAGGTTTACCTCGGTCACCATTGCCGAGAGGATGATTTTAGACATATTCTGATTGACCCGCACCACGTTAGATTCAGAATTACAATTCTTCCTCTTAAGTGGTTTACAATCAGCCCACTTGTGGCCCATAATGCCACAAATAACGCATCTTCCGTAGAATTGCTTCTTGAAGTCCTTTCTGCCTAAAGGCAACAAATGGATACTAGGTTCCACTTGAAAGCCTTCACTCACGATCGTTCCTTCGTCAACTTGACTTAGGACGACGATCCCAGAATCCACCATCTTGTATTCAAGTAATCGGCTAATGACAAATATTTTTGCCTTAGCGTCATCACTCTTATACTTCAGGTCCAAAGATTCCCACAACGAGCCACACAAACCATTCAAAACATAGTTTAGGCATAGGAAAACAACATACTTCCAAATCCTCACTATGCTAATGGTTTGAGCGTTAGACTCATGTTCCTTTCCACTAGGAACCATCTCGATCAAGACCCATGACATGCCGAGAATCATTAGTATGTACAACATTTTAAGTTGTAACCCTTCGAAATTCAACATCTTGAATTTCCATGATCTTTCGACCAATCCACAAGGTATCGTCCCAAGTACCTTCATCGTAGGGATATACCCTTTGATGCCATCACCGGTCTCCGAACAAAAGTTCACCGGGGTTTCGGATTGTGCAACTACGTTGCCGATCCGACCAATTGAATGTGCACCACGAGCAACATTCACGGTTCCACCACTCGTGGAATCCATCAACTTTATTCACCAAAAATTAACCGGTTTTAAGATTGTTGGAAATGGTGAATAAAACGATAATATATATATATATATATATATATATATATATATATATATATATATATATAATATATTGTCCCGGAAAAAAAAAAGAATTTAATTTATAGAAAATTAATTCCAACCAATTTTGGTACGAAACCAAAATTACATATATATACCTCGTATATATATTAACCAACTAGGGATTTATTTTATCAAAATAATCCCACTACAACTAGTACGAAACTAGTACACGGGACTTAATTTCCACGAAATTAATCCCACCACAACTAGTACGAAACTAGTACAAGGATTTAATTTTTCCGAGATTAATCCCACCACTTGGTTCGAAACCAAGAACAAAAATAAACAAGAGACAGGTTTCTAACCTGAGGTTTTAACCCAACGAGAAGAAAGAAGAAGCAGAGGAAGCCCGAGTCGTGTGTACACACACTCTCCTTAAAACCGATTCGCCACCTCCCGAGGGTGCTAGGATCGTTGTGGCGTCAGTCTCCCAGGATAAAACGGACTACGACTTTGGCGTTCGAGCACTCCAACCCAAAGCCCGACGAACTAGAACACAAGTTGAGCACTCCGATGTTTTACGGAATTATGTTGGCAAAACAATCTTTCTCTTTTGAAATCAGGGAGATTAGAGAGAAAAAAGCAATGGTTATTTTTGAGTTTCAAAAATGGGGCGTAAACAATCTGCCAACACCCAAGGTATTTGTAGGAGAAATAAAATTAATAGCCTATTCATGGCACATAAACCAACATAAATTCAATTTAAAAATTGAATTATAACGTTTGAAACGGTCGTACTTATTATCGAAATAATATCAACGGTCATGAACTTAATACACGATTAATTCGTACCGGCCATAACGACCCGTTTCAAAATATCTGAGTGACCGAGAAGTCCGTACAAACCCGAAAGGTTAACGAATTGGGACTGGAAACCACACCCGAGTGGTCCACACGCACCGAAACGGTGCAGCACGAATCAATGCATATAGCATTGACTCGTGCCAACTCATGTTGCCGAGCACGAAAGGAGCTCATTACACGAAAAGAGCTCATCACACGAAAGGAGCTCAATTTCCAAAAGCACGAATTTGTGCTTAAATCCCAAATCATTAGTTAATTAAGCTTTCAAGCTTAATTACCCCTCTTAAGCGTAATCAAGCTTACAACGAATCAAGCTTGATAACCAAATTTAGAATTGTTAATTTAATTAGCAATTTAGCTTAAGAGTTCGGCTTCTCTCAAATAGGTTCACTTTGAGAATCAAATTCTCATTCACCTATTACTCATTTTGAGCGTACATTATATCTAATTCTTCGTCTCACTATGAAGAACCCGAATCCACTTTGACCCGACCCAAATCGAAAGTGGACCCACATATATTTGCACCACAAAATAATTACTCAAAATGCCATTTTTAGCTAAAAATTCCAACAATACCTTCTTCCTCCAGAATTTCCAAATTAGCCCCCCTATCAAACCCATTTTTGCCTTTGGGAGGTTCTGGAAGCTCAATGATCTCTTCAATTCCATCGCTTTCATTTCTATTCTCACTAAAGTCCTGCTCATTTTCAAGCTCCTCCTCCTCCTCTTCTTTAGACTCGAGAACGGGCCTATTGACAAAATCAACGGCACCCTCATTGCAATGAGGGTTTTGAGAGCCAGAATGTTTGGTCTCATCATCTAGGGAGATGAGGAGGATATTGGTTGCGAAAAGGTGATGTCCGTGATTTTTCCTGCCGCAGCGATGGGAGAGAAGGCCTGGAGACGTTGAAGAATAAATGAGAAATGTGAAATTACCTTTTTGTCCTCACATTTAACATTTTATCGATGAAATTTTAACGAAGGACTAAATCGAGTAAGATTTTAATAATTGAGGCCTTAATTTGGTAAGGGATATAGTCGAGGACCAAATCGGTAGTTTCATAATATTCAGAGGACCAAATCAGTCATTAACTCATAATAAAATGGAAAAATAGAATAGGAACTATAATTTACTTATAATGTTAGAAGTAAAAAAAAAAATGAAAAATGAAAAAAAAATCCCTAATTCACTTATTAATAATAATAATAATAATAATAATAATAATAATAATAATAATAATAATAATAATAATAAGAATAATAATGATAATGATAATGATAATGATAATGATAATGATAATAATAATAATAATCATAATCATAATAATAATAATAATAACAATAATAATAATAATAATAATAATAATAATAATAATAATAATAATAATAATAATAATAATAACAAGGTTTGAAGTAAAAAAAAGGAAAATGGAATATGATCTCTAAGTCATTAATAATAATAATAATAATAATAATAATAATAATAATAATAATAATAATGGAAAAATACAAAAATGATCTATAATTTACTTATAATGTTAGGAGTAAAAAATGAAAAATGGAAAATGATCCCTAATCTATATCTATACTATTATTGAAAACAAAATAATTAATATTTAATTAATTAAAGAATAATAATAATAATAATAATAATAATAATAATAATAATAATGAAAAAATAAAAAAGGAACTATAATTTACTTACAATGTTAGGAGTAAAAAATGAAAAATGAAAAAAGGATCCCTAATTCACTTAATAATAATAATAATAATAATAATAATAATGATAATAATAATAATAATAATAATAATAATAATAATAATAATAATAGTAATAATAATTATAATAATAATAATAATAATAATAATAATAATAATAATATTAAGGTTTGCTGTAAAAAAGGAAAATGGAATGTGATCTGTAAGTCATTAATAATAATAATAATAATAATAATAATAATAATAATAATAATAATAATAGTATGAAAAAAAATGATCTATAATTTACTTATAATGCTAGGATTTAAAAATGAAAAGTGGAAAAAGATCCCTAATCTATATCTATACTATTATTGAAAATAAAATCTTCCGTTGTGTTTTCCCGCTCAAACTCTTCTACCCAAAAAATTAATAATTAATTAATTAACGAGATCGAAAAGACTTGGCTCAAGCCTAATCTCGTGTGCGCCCACCTCTGGGCACGAATGTCGTCCGAAAATTGGCTGGCCTTTCGGGCTAAGTTATGCCAAACTTCGGTATCATACACGAGAGTTCGTGCGGTCGAACCTTGAGAGGTTTCAGCCTTTCGGCCTGGTGGCCGAAAGTTCGGCCCTGCTGTGGCGAAACTAAAGCTCCTGCTGTGACCGTTGGGGTTTTAATTCAGCTGTTTCGGAGTTAATTCTTTGAATTAATTCCAATTTTAATTTTTGAATTAAAACTCAAGGTAGTGGTTGCTGTTACAGGAGTTGTAGGGGTGCCTTTAAATGCCAAATTAAAAGCTACTTAATCATTCAACCCTATATAAGAGAGGGTAGATGCAGTAGAGATTTACATAGAATATGAAAGTATCTTTTACAGCCTAAAAATTCTCTGCTTCTACTCTTTCTTAGCCATACTGTGTTCATAACCTTGCTTTGTTCGCCGAATTCCTTGTTTGGGTGCTCAAACATTGAATCATAAGCAAGTTTTATCCTGGGAAGCCTAGGCTACAACGCTCCTAGCACTTTGTGGAGGTAGCAAATAAAGTTTTAAGGAAAGAGTGGTCGTTTGACTCTTGCTAAAACCCAACACCAAACACTAGCCAAATTCTCCATCTTTCCTTCCATTCTTTTCCAGAAAAATAATAATCTTATTTTATTAGATTATTATTTATTTTTCACCAACGGAATTCCAACAATACTCATTTGTGTTTTCCCGCCCAAACTCATTGTGAAAAATCATATACTTATGGTATATTAGTATAATTCTCTAATAATTATTATGATAATTAAGTTAAACATGACCATTATATTAATTTTTATAATAATTATAATTAAATTATTTATCATTTTTTCATATTAATTTTAATAATAATATAATTATATAATATAAAATCAAACATAAACTTTGGTCAAATAATTAGCCCGACTAAATAAATAGCATTCAAAGTTGAGCATCAAAGTTATAAATCAGAATTTTTAAAAATCATTTGATTTTTTTTGATTTAAAAAAAAAAAACAAATATAGGTTAGGTTTTTTTTTTTTTTTTTTTTTTTTTTTTTTTTTTTACGTTTAATTAATCTTCTTTTGATTATTTAGAACAAAACTTAATATGGAGTATTTCAATTATGCTTTTGCATTATTGGAATGATTTAGGTCATTATGGTAATAATATTTTTTGTATTTTTTTTTATAATGGTACAATTGTACATTACTTTAAAAATATTATACTATTATTTCTTTTATCGGATAAAATTGCTCTTACATCATTGTCAGAAATGCGCGACCTAATTACAAAGTTATTGATCATACAATTACACATGGACTTTAAAACGATATGGCCATTCTCCAAATAACTAACAATGTTAACATCCTACTAGCTCCAATTAAACAAGTTTACATATCAAAATTTTATCAATGCATGAAAACTACTTCTAAAGAAATTTGTAACTTAATTTTTACTATATCATTATAACAATATTTATTGTAAACATATATTTTGAATTATTTATTATCATCCACTATTGATAACAATTGTAGCAATTGTCATTGACAAACTCTCAATACAATTTGTCTCAACAAGGAATGGAAATTTTTTTTAAAAAAAATCATTGATTTCATTATTGTTGCTAAAAAGTATGTACAACACTTTATTACTCTTATTAAATTAAATAAATTAGTAGCTACAACAAAATATAATACATATGCATTTAATTAATTTAGAATTAGATGTCTATAATGCTTTATCTAAAACAAATTATTCATTATAAAAAAAATTAAAAGAAATACAATTTCATTAGTTATATTATCTTTATTTTCTACCATTCAATGATTCCTTACCTTCAAATTTATTAATTTATTATGTTCACTACATTGTTCATTGTCTTCTTTTTATATTATCTTGTAATTAAATATCAAAGTTATAATACAAATTAAACATGTTATATATATTTATTACCAAGTATTTTATACAATATAATAAATATTAATATTTTGTTCAATACTTTCACATGATAACCTACGACAGATATCTCACAACACATGAACATGTAGGGGAAAAACTACGACTACTAAATATCAATAGGTGTTTGTAAGATAAAGAGTTCATATTACAACTAAAATCTCAGTCATATACACAGCAAGGCAAATCTAAAGTTTCCTACACCATAATCTCATTGCATGATGAATCCCTCTATGTTGCCACCAGTAACCTAATTGCACATGACACACTACCAATAAAAAAAAAAAAAGGAGAGAAAATGTACTGAAGATGAAAACAATGACAATGCTACCCAAAAGAGAATTAAGAAGAATTAGAGAAATTTAAACCAAAAGTAGAATTTATTTAGACTGTCACTTTAAGACTAAGTATTTAGACTAGAATTATTACAAAGTTGCAAACATTTATTTTAGTGATAATTTTAATCAATATCTCATATATTATATCTTGAATTTATATACTTTAAATTACCGATTTAAATAAACAAATTAAACATTTATTTACCTATGCATAAACATCTCCTATATAATATTGCATTGATATACTTTGAAATACTTATTTAAAAATAATCATTGGGCATTATCGCATTCACGCAAAGCGCGTAAAAAAAAACTAGTATTATAATAAGGGGAAAATTGTAAAAAATGCCCCTCTATAATATGTCCATTATCAATGTCACCTCTGAATTATGAGTGGTGTAAATGTTGCCCCTCAATTATCAAAATGGTGCACATATAGCCCCTCCCGTAACGGACTTGTGGTTCCCCACCGCTGTCCATCGCTGATACTTCAAATCGAGGGAGGGAAAAAACAACTAAATTACATATTTACTCCGACTTAACAGTGTCGTACACTAACAGGGAACCACATGTCCGTCACGGGAGGGGTTATATGTGTACCGTTTTGATAATTAAGGGGCAACATTTACACCACTCATAATTCAGGGATGACATTGATAATTGACATATTATAGAGGGGCATTTTTTACAATTTTCCCTATAATAAGAGATACTATATTGCATCAAGATTGCTGAATTGCTTCCTATGACTGATCCTTCATGACAATTGCACTTCCACTTTTAGTCCCCAAGTATTAACCTTACAGACCATCGAGGTTTTCCATCCTTAAACATGAGATATCCTATGGCAATACCAAAAGGTGCACAAGAGAAGTATCCCACAACAACACTTTTCCAGCCAAATCCAACTCGAAAATTTTGTGAATCCTTCACATTTGGCACTTTCCCTCTACCCTTGTTTTGGTATTGTAACGTTAGTGGCAATCCACATAAAGGAGCATTTCTCAAATAGGAATCGTTGCTAAATGTGTCAAATTGTAAGCCTTGAGGTATCGGACCAGAAAGATAATTATAAGAAAGATTTAGCACAGCGAGAAATGTCAGTGATCTTGGAAGTTGTTTTGGAATCTCACCCACTAGTTTATTTGATGACAGATCGAGTGCCTTAAGAATGGTTAAATTTTCCAGTGATGATGGAATAATGCCAGTTAGCTGGTTGTGTGATAAATTGAGAAGCCAAATGACACGAAGCCATCCAAAAGATTTTGGAATTTCACCATGGAAGTGGTTATTTGATAAATCAAGAGATGTGCAGATATTGTAATGTACCACTTGAAGCTCAACCCCTTTCCACACTCGGCTTATTGAAGCTTCAAAAGATGACAACTTTTCATTATCAATTTCATGGTGCATGACTTCAAAGTTTTCCATATAATATATTTGCATAGGACCAATGAACTCATTGTGTGAGACATCAAATATGTGCAGCTTTGTGAATGGAAGTGTAGTATTATATTAGAAGTACATATTTCTCCATAAAAATGATTAGATCTTTACACAAGAACACGCAATCTGGAAGAGTATCCAACCAATGACGGAATAAATCATGTAACTTGTTGTTCCCAAGATCTAAAAATTTAAGAGATGTACAATTTACCAAGCCCAGTGATAGTGACCCTTCCAAGTTATTGTCATTCAAATTGAAATACTCCAAGATGCGTCCCTTTGTGCATACTCCTGAGATACTTCCCTCAAATTGATTTTGGGCTAAATTTATAACCCTAAGACCCCTGATTAAGTTCTCTAAACACGGAGGTAATGGACTGCGTAAATAGTGCACTACAAAAAATGCGAAAGTAGCGACGGACAATTTCCGTCGCTAAACAGGTGAAATCCGTCGCTAAAGTGTTTAGCAACAGATTTTGTCCGTCACTAGAATTTAGCGACGCAGTTTATTTCCGTCTCTAGCCTTAGTGACGGAAAGTTCCGTCGCGAAGAAAATAATTCGTCGATGTATTTATCCCGGCGACGGTTTGGACGTCAAAATTTTTGAGGGAATAATGACAGAATATCCATCGCTAAATCTAGCGACGGAATATCCATTGCTAGATTCCTACCACGATGATCTGGTGCGGAACTTTACAACGGACTAGCGGTGGATTATTCCGTCGCTACTTATATATAGTGTCAGAAATGTTTGTCGCTACCGTCCGTCGCTAGAATGTTGCGACAGATATATGTCGTCACTAGTTTGTTTTTACTATTTGAATTTGATGCCATTTAGCTACGGTTTAGTGATGGAAATATTCATCGTTAGATTTAACTACGGAATGTTCTGTCGCTATTTCGTTACCATTTTTATTTTATATTAAATATTTAGCTACGGATTTACTATAATATTTATCCGTCGCTAAATTTTCAAAAAAAATAAAAAATTTAGCCACTAATTAATATCGCATACATGCATTAAACATATAATATACTACGTCAATGATTATTGCTAATAATGATTATTGGCTTCCAAGTGACATTTTTTATGTGTTTGAGTGATTGATGCATGATCTTGTGATAATGTATTTTTAGAGCTTGTATTTAGGGTTCTTAAATGCTTTTATTTGAGCTATTCATAGGTTCAAGTAATAACTTTGTTGTATGGAAGATTTGGGGTCATTTGGACTTGTACTTGACCTTGTAGAAGAAAAACCGCGAAAGCTGAATTTTTGTGCTATAGTGTTCCCCGCGGGAGGAACCACGGGTTAGAGCCCTACCCGTGGCGCCACCCGCAGGGTACATGTTGAGAAATGGTGTGTTGGTTGTTTTCCCACCGATTCGCCCACTCGTGTGTGATTCTTTGGCCTCCATTTGATTAGATTGTTGAGCTTTTGTGTGTCTCCTTGATGTTACTTATGTCTAGAGCAATGTCTTAAGTGTCCCTATGCTTGTGGTCCAACTTTGTGATTCGTTGGATTATTGTGAGTCTTTGAGGTTTATTGGAACCATTTTGGTTTACCCGTTTGATATGCATGCTAGTTTTGGTGTCATTGATGCTAGTATGTATTGTTTGTCCCTTTCTATTGAGGATTGGCAACTCATGTTGCCAACCATGTTGATATTGGATTGAGGTCCATTGTTGTTGTTGAGTATCGTTTCATGTCCATCATTGAAACCCCTTACTTGGATCCCTTAATGTGATCCTGTGTGTATCATTATTCCTTGATTAAGCTATTGTTGAGCTTATCCCTTGTTGTACACACTTTGTGTGGAATCTATGTGTTGTTGTATCTCTAGATTCCGTGTGTATTGACTCTTGATGAGATGATGGATTGATGTGATGAGATGATTGAGCTGGTAAAGTGGATAGTGTGGGGACTTATGTGTGATTGCATCCGGTAGTGGGTTTAAAGCTCCAGATTGCCAGTTGGATACTTTACTTGTGGGTAACTTGGGAAACTCATTCCAGTTGCCAGAGATGGTAGCTAACTCGTTGAGCTTGGAATCTCAATAGGGGGTGTATACACTTAGGGGTCGTTTGGTTCACGGAATGTCAGATTACCTTAGGGAATGTTAGATTGCTGGGAATGTTAGATTATTGGGAATGTTAGATTCTTGTGTTTGGTTAAAATTGGGGTATGTAATATAATCATGTTTGGTTTAGGGTTATCTTTTATTCACACACTATAATATCCTTAACATATTTTCATATATTTTAATAAATTTAAAAATTAAAATAAATAAATAAGATAACGTTATCATATATAATTACACGATTTTAAAATATTAACTAAAATATTGAACTTGAGATACAAAATTATTTTATATGCTAACCTAACATAATAAAAATAAAAGTATATAATTACAAAAATAATTATATATATATATATATATATATATATATATATGTGTGTGTGTGTGTGTGTGTGTGTGTGTGTGTGTGTGTGTGTGTTTGTGTGTGTGTGTGTGTGTGTGTGTGTGTGTGTGTGTAATAAACTAACATAACCAAGGTTATCTTACATAACCTTAGAAATTGAAGGGAATCACATTCCCTTCAAAATCCTATGTGGAGGGAATGTGACATTCCTGGGGAATGTCAGATTCCCTGAGATAATATGAACCAAACACAGGAATGTGAGCTTTGGAATGTCACATTCCCTTGGTTATGTTATATAACCTGAACCAAACACCCCCTTAAAGTTGCTAGCTCTGCTTCCATTGGGATGCGGTCCTTGTCATTGCGATGACACTATAGCATGTGATCCGGGTCGTTGCGATGACTACGTGATACATGATTATTGATGTAGAGCCCTCCACACTGATCCACTATGAATCGAGACGTGGTGCCGACTCCACGGTATATGACTTGGTGTGATAGTGTCTTATGTGGACTTGGAACTCGTTATGGTGTGAATCTTGCCTCTCACTGCTTTAGAGCATGTCTTTTGTGAATCCTTCTTTGTGGGTCGTACGTTGTACCTTATTGTTGAGCTTGTTGCTTGTGGTTCTATTGTCTTAATGAGTATGGTGGTCTTTGTTCTTTGTTGTGAGTGATTGATGAGTCTATTGATGTTTCCTCTCTCGGCTTTAAAAATGATATATACTGTATTCCTCTGTCTCAAATGGTTTTGCTTATATCTATGTATATTATGATACTTAACGTGTGTTGGTGGGTTACCAGCATTATTCGCTGACCGGGTGTTATCCCTTATCTTTTACAGGTTGAGTAGCTTTGGAGAGCGCGCTAGTGGTCTGTAGATAGATTAGATCTCTTCCTTTAATAGTTGTTGAGGCTTGTGAGCCTAAGTAGTTGAATTGTTAGACTGCTTTAGTTGTAGTATCTGCCTGTGCACCTATGTTTGATATAGGTGTGGCATAACACCTCCGTGTTTAGACGTTGCTTCCGTTGCTTAATGATTAATGTTTAGCTGTATGTCTCTTGTTTAAGCTTTTAAAAGTTGTTAAAAATCGGGAGTGTTACACTGATAGTTAATGCATAGTTCAAATAGTAAATGAACATGTAATATTTATATGTTATTTAATTTTATTATATTTTGTTTTAGATGACACGAGGTGGTTGTAGAGCTGAACGCATAAGAGGACGTGGACGGGGTGCACCACCTCCTGTGAAACCTATTGTCGCACCTCCTCCTACTGTAGTATCTCCACCTATTGTGTCACCTATTTCTATTGGTCCACCAACTGACTTACCGATTCCATCACCATTAGACTCTACTGCTCCACCCACATCCTCATCAGTTACAGGATCATCTACTGCTTGTGATTTGCCTACTATTCATGTAGAGGCTGGGAGGTAAAAATGTGTTATTATGTTAACATTTGTGTATATTATTTTTATCTTTATTTATCTCTTATATATGTACAGGTTGATACCTTCTCACACATGTTCAGCTATAATGACAAAAATATTCATGAAAATGATCTATCCTAATGGGTATACTTGAAAGAATGCGCCTAATGAGTACAAGGATTCATACTTTGAGGAATTTAAGGTAAAATCACGATATGATTTTGAAAATATTGTGGTTAATTCTTGAAGCTAGAATATTATTAAATTTTTGTTAGTAACTTTGCCCAATGCATTTTATGGATGGTGTTGCTCTGTTTTGCTTAAATTTGATGAATTTGTAATGTTAGTGGGATGAGTCGATTGACACACAAGTTCACCAAGCTTTTTTAGCACAAGCTGGCTTACGCTATGCAGATATGGTCTCCAAATTCAAGACGAGACGGACTTCAACTGGGAGGCCAGCTTGTGTAGCTGAAGAATCATGGCTTATTTGGGAGGCATATTGGGATAGGTCAGACGTGAAACCTAAATCTGAACAATAACGCTAGAATAGAATGAGTGAGGTGGAACGACCTGGTACGGGATGTTCTCGGCATACCGGAGGTTTTAGATCAACTATTGAGCATTATCACAAATTAGTAATACATTTAACTTACAAATTTATTATTTGTATATATTTTACAAGTTAAATATCATTTTACTATTTGTGCTTGTTTAATAACAAGATGATCTTCAAAAGAAACCTAATCTGTTTGAGTGTTTCGAGCAAATGCATAAAAAGAAACATGGCATGTTCGTTGATGAGAGGTCAAAGAGAATCGCGGTAGGTATAACGTAACAATCATATATTTTTAAATAGATAAAATTTTTATATCCCTTTGTATACTTCTTTTATTTTGTATATGTTTTTAATTGTAGGACGAAATACAAGCACGACATGCTGCTGCAACGCAAGAAGCTGAAGGGTCAAATGGGCCAAGTATAAACATGTCACATCTGTATGTGGATGTTGTTGGCGGGGTAAAAAAACAGTGTATTTATGGCTTAGGGACTAAAGCATACTCATTTATCAGCAACAATAGTTGTGGTTCATCTGTTACTTCACATGTTAATCAAGTGGCAATGAAGGAGATGGTCACTAAACATATAGAGGTCGTTCAAGCTGAGATGGAGGCTAAACTACAAGCTGAAAGAAATCAAATGCAGGCTCAGATTGCAAGTTTGATGGATAAGTTGCGCCGCAATGGGATGTTTTCCACTTCTATGGCACCACCACCGACTATTGAAGTTGAGCATTATCTTAATTCAAATCATGAAAACTTAGGAGATGATTAGATTTTGTTTATTAATATATTTGGTAGTGTTGCAAACGTCTTCTTTAATTTCCTTTGCTTCTATCCTTTACTTTTAGTCCTCACCCAAAGTACATCTGTTGGTGGTAATGAACCAAAATAGATTTAAAATCCGTAAAATAATATTTATATATATACACACGAAATATATATAAAATATTATTAGATATATATCCAAAATATATATATACACAAATATATATATATATATATATATATATATATATATATATATATATATATATATATATATATATATATATATATA